TATATATATATATATATATATAATCCAAAATAGGAGAGGCAAGCCTGTCAAAGCTTACTCATCTGCATTGATATTCCACTTTGTCACTTCACGCCCGATGCCTGACAGGGGAGCGAATGTGTGCCTCTTTTCAGCGTCGTTGGTTATTTTGAAGTCAGGTAAATATTCCCCGGCTGTGTGTCTGTCTGTTCGATGCAGCTGCGCACGTAGCTTATGTAACTGAAACCTCGGCAGCAAACAGATGTGTGCTTCCCAAACAACAGGTGAACTCACCTTTCAGAGCATCAGCAGCATTAAAAACCATCCCTGATCACCGTGGGTGAAATCTGTCAGAGTGAGTGTGCATATGCGAACACTCCGGGTCTCCTTCACAGAGGAAGGCCATGACAAATGGGCTCAGAAATCCCATGCGTTCATGCACGTGCATATAGGTTGATCACTGCAAGGAAGATGCTTTTTTATTTATTTATTTTCTGAGGCTCTTTTTGTCCTGCAGGGATGAAAAGGTTGTGTATCTGTTTAGTTCTGCCTCCACATGCATCTGTGTCTCTCAGWGAGGGTGCAGCCATAAATGACTGTCAAACTGTATTGTCTTTCAATTCCAATGCAAACACAMAGCAGATATGAGAAATGAGTCAAGACATTATAATAAATAGACTAAATTAAAGTTCTTATGATTATTTTTGACACATAATGCACATGGCAAACTCAAGGCCCACAGGCCAAATGTGGCCCACCGTGGCATTTTATATGGCCCGCAAGAGCTTCAAAGATGTATTGTGTTAAAAATGGGCATGTGCTGCTGTTAAGCCAGCATTGACCATAAACTACACCTCCCATAATACATGCAGATTATTCTACTTGCAAAGTGACGGCATCCCACCACTAGGTGAAGGTGCACAGGGATCAAAATAGCTGGTGGCTGACGGCAGCCGGCGAAATTTGCCCCGTAAAATCATCATTTCACTACATTTTGCCCTTTTTTTTTTTTTTTTTTTTTTGCTGCGGCCCAGCATTACAGGTTGTAAGTTTGAACTGATACACGCAGTGAAATCCCCGTCAGAAAGTGGAAGAGTTCTGAATTCAAGATGGCTCCTCATCACAACTCAACAACAGTGTGTGAAACTCTTTAACTTTTACTTTTACTAGTATTTCTGTATAATTTATTTCACATTTAGTCCATCATGCACACTTGAGGACAGGTTAAAACGTTGTTTCTATGCAGGAAATACAGCATAGAGCTCAGTTARTGAGTGGTGCTCAGCTGTAGTAATGAGGCAAKGAATGTGACGTTTCATACATCAATGTTAATGGGCCACCATAACACTGGTGTGGCCCTCAGTGAAAATGAGACACCCCTGACATTTTGYTTGTGATGCATGCTTTCTTTAGCATTTAACCTCAATCCTTGGAGGAATGCTTATCGACTACTGCCTGGCTCAGTTTACGTTGGGAAATGAAGCCAATTAGGGCTCCTGACTTCTTACCTTAAACCTAACCTCACAGGTACATACCTGACCCAAAACCTAACGTAAACTCAATTCACGCCTTCATCCTGAACCAAACTCCTGACCCCTGACCCACCAAGGGTATTTCCCTCAGTGGGGACCAGGGTTGTCCCCATGATGAGCAGTGGGTCTTCATCAGGCTGTGTGTAACAGGAAAATGGTCAAAAATCATCCCTACCAGGTAGCAAAAACATGCACACACACACACACACACACACACACACACCATAGATGTAAGACTTGCCAACGTTGCCTTTTGGCCTTAATAAAGAATATTTTCTTGCAGGGACTGCAGATCAAAAATAGTCTGTAAGGCTAAATCTGTCACATTTACATGATGGCCTGAAGTATTCATCACGCTCAATGTGCACTGACTGTCTCTTTTAAATAAAAGAAAAAAGAGAGAAGGATTCATTAATTTCATAAAGTCTTTATTAAAGTGATAGTTCATATCTTTTAAAGTGGGGTTCTGTGTTTAGAACAATGAATATCTTACCTGTTGTGGATGAAGAACCTAAGTTTGGAGAAAGAGAGTTTAAGACCGAGGAGATTGAAGAGCTAATGGCTACTTAGGTGACAGGTTCAAAGTGGATTGGTACTACCTTAAAGGAGACCAATTATGGGTCCTAGAAATGTTTATGGTATGTCTGTGTGCTATCCAGACCATGTTCACTCAGTTTAATGCACAAAATAATTCTCAGATAATAAAATTTCCCATTTTCTAGTTCTGCCTGCTCTGACTTCAGTTCAGAAGAGCTGTTTATGTTAATAAGCTCTGTTGGTAACGCCCTCCAAAAATCTGTTGACATTAACTCCGCCCTCCAAAGCCAGCGTTTACGTTAGCATGGCTAATAATAGCAGAAGCTCCGTTGTACAACCGTACGAGAGACCCAGAGGCAGAGTCGTGGTCCCAGCTTCTTCTTTTTTTCTCTCCCTCCTCTGCTCTGCGCTCACTCTTCATGCTGTTACCAGAGCAGGGAGCAGCAGCAGTGAAAATACCTCAGAAACTCAAACAAATAGGCTTTAACAAGGCTTTAATAAGCTAAACAATAGAGGTACATGAGAAAACGTGTTCATAATGAACAAAAATAAATAAATAATTGAATAGTGTCCATGCCAGTCTCAAACCCTGATCTCCCACTCTCTGGTCCAACACTCTACCCATTGCCCTATTGGAGGCCTGTTGTGAAATGAGCTGCACATTGCACAACAATATGGTGACGGCTTTTTACATTGAGGAGGTGGAGTCTCACCCGGGGGTTGCTATAAGGGGCTGAACGCAGGTTTCGGTGGGTTGTCGTACGGCTTGTGACATCACAAAATGACAGAAGTATGAAACTTGTCGTTAATATACACTAAAAAAAACATTTACTTACAGTAAATATGCCCCTGGGTGCATTGTTTTTGGTCCTAGGACTGTTTTTTAAGAAGTACATACCCAAAGTTGAGTAAAAACAAAACTTTAAAAAGTGAATTTTGCATAATAGGTCCCCTTTAAAACCACTTTAAAAAATAGCAGTTCTTCCAGCAGATATATTGTATTAAACTCTATGTTAACAATTGTTGGTGATTGAAAGAAGGAGATTGCGGATACAAGTGGCTGAAATGAGTTTCCTCTGCAGGGTGTCTGGGCTCTCCCTTAGGGTGAGGAGCTCAGTCATCCGGGAGGGACTCAGAGTAGAGCTGCTGCTCCTCCACGTCGAGAGGAGCCAGTTGAGGTGGCTCCGGCATCTGGTTAGGATGCCTCCTGGACGCCTCCCTGGTGAGGTGTTCCGGGCACGTCCCACTGGGAGGAGGCCCAGAGGAAGACCCAGGACACGCTGGAGGGGCTATGTTTCTCTGCTGACCTGGGAACGCCTTGGGATTACCCCGGATTGGCTGGTCCAAGTGGCTGGGGAGAGGGAAGTCTGGGTCTCTCTGCTTAGGCTGGTTCCCCCTTGACCCAACCCCAGATAAGCGGCAGAAAACAGACAGACYGTTAACAATTGTAGTGTGAAACTGATGGAAATGTTGATGTTTATATAACGGCGTTCACATGAACCATAGTAAAAAAAAAGGAGTGTCTGAAGATCGCAGAAATTCACTTTTTTCTTCATTTCCTCGACAGCAGCTGATAAGTCCAATCCAAACTTAGTTTATTTAAAATGAGGTAAAGGGCTACAACAGGTGACACATTAATTGCATAAATTTTCCACACAACTGTCCATTTAGCAAGTGATTTGGCCAGTTTGCAGTTATCTGCAGTATGTTAGTTGGAATTTAGCTGTACAAAAGTTAATTTTGTGTATTTTTCATTAAAGAAAATAAACCTTCATGAAGGAAATTGCATCAATTTAAAAGTACATGTAACTTGACTTATGAACGTTTATTATTTTGAATATTGAGCGGCAATACTTTAGTCATATTTGTCAAAAAGGTAGAAATTATTGATGAAAAGTGACACTAGTATCAAAAAATAAATGAGACATTATTAAAGAGCACAATTAGAACAGGAAAAGTAATCATTACGGTAACAGTGGCACGTTTGAATTTGTAGAATAAAAATTTCAGTTTGTGTGCTGCTGAACACACTGCTGAGCAAAAATAAACTCAATAAAAATATAAGAACGTGTGACCGTTTAAAATCTGACAACAAGCCCTGGAGGAGGGTATAGCCTGAAGGAAAAGCCATGAAACGCAGTTTTCTCTGGTGGAGTTGAGAGGTGGGRTGGTCCTTGTAGTGATGTCAGCCCCCCCTCCTGTGAGAACATCCATTCCCCCCGCAGCGTCTCCTGATTCTCTCCGATCTGGAGCAGCTCACCGGAACGCAAAGAGCAGCTTTACGCACGGCGGTGACAGAGGGGCTGCTGCGTTTTACTGGATTGTCAACTCTGATTTTTTTCTTTTCTCATTATTTGCTGATATTTTTCAGACTTTCTTGTAAGGAAAAGGCAAGAAATGTGCAGCTTCTTGAAGGATTCACTGTAGAACCAAGAGCGTTACGCGCAAGCATCGCCTTTTATTTATTTATTTTTTTACTCTTTTCTTTGTTTTTAAAGCCGTGCACCCAGCCCTGGCTGATTTTGGAACGCGATACAAAGACCAAAGATGAAACTAAAAACCTGTTTGCAGGCAGAATGGATTTAACCCGACTGAATCTGCCTGTGGAAAACGTCTCCAGCGATGAAAACACCACCGACGCGCCGCTCTCCCTGCCCTACACGGAGGCAGCCGCGGGACTCATCATCCTGGTGGTGATTGTGATCATCTCCTTGACTATCGTTGGCAACGTGCTGGTGATCGTGGCGGTGCTCACGAGCCGGGCTCTCCGCGCGCCCCAGAACCTCTTCCTGGTCTCACTGGCCTCGGCGGACATCCTGGTGGCCACGCTGGTCATCCCCTTCTCCTTGGTGAATGAGGTCATGGGTTACTGGTACTTTGGGAGCACTTGGTGCGCCTTCTATTTAGCCCTGGATGTTTTGTTCTGCACCTCGTCCATCGTGCACCTGTGCGCCATCAGCCTGGACCGCTACTGGTCCGTGACCAAAGCGGTGAGCTACAACCTGAAGCGCACGCCGAAGCGCATCAAGTCCATGATCTCGGTGGTGTGGGTCATATCCGCTATCATCTCCTTCCCGCCTCTCCTCATGACCAAACACGACGAGTGGGAGTGCGAGCTGAACGACGAGACCTGGTACATCCTCTCCTCCTGCCTGGTGTCCTTCTTCGCTCCGGGACTCATCATGATTCTGGTTTACTGCAAGATCTACAAGGTGGCCAAGCAGCGCTCCTCCACCGTGTTCGTGGCCAAGAACGGCCTGGAGCGGGAGCCCTCCCAGTCCGAGACGTGCTTCGTCCGGAAGGACCGCTTCGAGGGGGAGAGCCCCAGCAGCCAGAGCTCCGGGAGCCAGCAGCAGCGGCAGGGAGAGCTGGACGACATCGACCTGGAGGAGAGCTGCTGCTCCTCGTCGGACACCAAGCCGCGCCACCACCGCTTCACCAAGCGCAGGAAGGTGGAGGGCTCGGACTGCTGCCCGCCGCAGAGCTGCCGCCTCTCCTGGGCTTCGGCGCGGGTCCTGCCGCCCGCACCGAGCCGGAACCCGGCCGAGCGGCAGCAGCTGGCCGCGGCCAACAAAACCAAGGTGGCCCAGATGCGCGAGAAGCGCTTCACCTTCGTGCTGGCGGTGGTGATGGGGGTGTTCGTGCTCTGCTGGTTCCCCTTCTTCTTCACCTACAGCCTGCACGCCGTGTGCAGGGCCAGCTGCCACATCCCCGACGCGCTCTTCAAACTTTTCTTTTGGATCGGCTACTGCAACAGCTCCGTCAACCCCATCATTTACACCATCTTCAACAGGGATTTCAGGAAAGCCTTTAAGAAAATCATATGCAGAACCGCGAGGCGCACATAACTGGAGCCTCGGTTCAGACACGAATTATGAACTCAGAGTCATCATTCATGTATTGTGAACTCATGTAACTGTTTATGAATAAATCTAATCTGATAATGTGACAAAAAACAGAAGCAWTCATACCTCAAAATACCCGAACACCTAAAATGTGGTTTTGAAAAGCTGTAAATTCAAACCCCTGCTTTGGATCCATCACAGATTCACCATCTTTAACTTATAACTGCTAAAAAGAAGGCAAACAAAATGCCAACACACTCAAACAATTCATAAAAACATACATCTCTCCTTTGCTTTCTGCAAGTCTTCTTATGTAACAGTCTTTTTCTCACAGCGCCTCACACCACAACAAGGAGCCAAAACTGAGGCCTGCGTCAACAAAACCAAGTGGGTCCATCTTTCACATTTCATGTCCTCAGCATGTTCAGAGTTATAGGTCAGACCCAAGAAGCTTGTTCTCACTCTATGAGTGGCTTATTCTGCTGTAGTTGTTGTGCAGATAAAGTATTTATTTTTATTCTGTTGCAGATCCAAAGTGTTTGCCTTAAGGAGAAATGAATCAGTCATGTTTCCTACTTGGAAACAAGAACTTTACACTAAAAAAACAGCTTGTTGAATGAAAAAAAAAAGGATATTTGGGATAAATGTTCCACACGGTTTGGTTTTATTTCAAAATATTGTATTTGGTTGTGGTCAACATAATCTTTAAGGGCTGTTTTTTTATTTAGTTTTTTTTTTTTTAAGTTTGATGTATTTTTTAATTGTTCTTGTTTAATCAATGTTGTGTTGCTTTTGTTAGTTTTGTTCAAATGAAGCGAGATTCAAAAGAAACTCATTCAAACATATTTTAAACCCTGTTTAGTCAGGAGTTAATGGAAGTAAAGAATTTAAATCGCTAAAAAATAAATAAAAAGAAAACTGCCAATACTTGAAGAAACATGTATTGTGTGAATTGCACCAATTTTGATGCCCAACTTTTAAACTGAATTTTTTTTACAAAGCCCAAAACTCATGTTGGATTCTCGGCTATTCCAGCTCAATATCTGTGAAAAGTAATGATTTATTGACACTTGGGTGCTAACTAAAGCTGATTATCTGTGGCAGACATTTTAATTGTGCTAGTTCAAAAAGTTAATCAGTTGTAGACGTTCATCCAATTATTTCTAGAGTTTCATTAAAATCCATCCAGTTGATGAGATATTTTGATAACTGAAAGAGGGGACAGCAACAGCTAAGGGTTTGGAGTATGAAGAGTAAATAACTAGTTCAGTAATATCTTATTGCATACATTTTATATCTATTATAAATATTACAATATTAAAGCGCATTTTTCTTACTAAGCTTAATTAGCTGTGGCAGCCATTTTTAATCAAGCTGATTCTGAAAATGAACCAGTGGTGCTTCAAATCATTTCCATAAAATCTGTTCTGTGGTTTATGATATTTTGCTAAGAGACAGACAAAGAACACAGAGATATTATAACTCCTCAAAGAGTTTGAAACTCCTTGAACAACATAATTGATACATTTTAAATTAAATAATATAATTAGTGGGAAACATTTACATAAAACCAACAAAAACTGATCATTTAGCCAACTTAAAATGGGGGGGGGGGTAATATATTTTCAGGCACATAGTTCAGTTCTATACCACAGTCAAGCAACAATGTTACCTTCATTTGTTATGAAAATGCTGTATATATCAAAAATAAATTTGACTTTGCATAACAGCCCATCTAAAAACCTTGAAACTGACCTCTGTATCTTTAAGAACCTCCTACCATTTTAGACACTCCCACTTCAGCATGTCTTCACAACAAAGCTTTGTGGGAGGGGTGCTCTGTGAGGCGGGAGCTACAGACTGAGCTCCTGGGAGGAGCTTTGTGTAAAGAGGAGGAGCTTTGTACCAGCTTCTCCACCACAGGAGATTGAAGGATTTCTGAAACATGCATAAATGAGCTAAAACAAGACTGCATTTGTTTTTGATGAGACAATGACATTATAACATGATAAAGCAAAGAAAGTTGATTTTGCATAATACCCCCTCCTCCAATCTAACATGGGACCAGTGGTGGCTGSTCAATAGGGGGCGCTAGGGCGCCATCCCACCACTACTCTTGGTACACACAAAAAAAAATTAAATAACAAAATAAAATCTTATAAATTTTTCAAAAAACTATCGTGTATATGTTTTCTGTTAAGTAAAATAAATAATTTGAAGTTATTGATGTGTACACTTCCATTTTACTCATGAGCTTTTTCGTGTTGAGTCACTTCTGGGTCACGGGCTGTTCGCRGCTCCAGACTCCCATAGGCAAGTTATTGTAAGATTTTGGACATGCGCAGTAAGTCCTCAATGCAAAAGAATACAGTAGCCTGTGGCGCAGCCCGTCACCTCTCCGCAGCTGACCTCTGGTATTCATATGGGGTTCACTTTGTCGACGTCTCAACGTCATGTTAATGCGGCAGCCTAGCCAGCAGGGCTGTCAGGAAGCGGGTTTTGGAGAACAACAAACGAGAATGAAGGAGAAAACAGCACCGTAAGTCTCTTATATCTAAACCTGTTCAAAGCAGAATATATGAGGAGAAACTTTAAGTGAAGTAGGTTGGACCGGATAAGCCAAACATAATAAAAATTGAGCAAGAACATGGTTTAGCATTAAGACTTCTAACTACATGCTCTGTTACCCATGTTGTCACAACTGCTCAAAAGGTAAAMGGAACAATAACACATCCTAGATCTGAATGAATGAAATATTCTCATTGAAAACTTTCTTCTAAACAAAGTTGAATGTGCTGACAGCTTGTGAAATTGTTTGTCATCAGTGTTACTTAAGTGGACAGTTTGACTTCACAGAAGGTTGATTTACTTGGAGTGATTGAGTTGGTGTTAATGGTGAACAAAACTTAATATAATGTAAAAATATTTGCATGTTTTAGTTTAGTTTAGTTTTTTATAAATTACTATTGTTTGYATTTATTCTTTAAAAAGGGGCAGGTCTTACAATATATTTTTCTTCTTTCTGCTGCCTTTCATTTTATTTATATATTTTTTTCTTCTGTTGTGCATAGTTTATTTTTTAATAAAATGAATACATTCAAAAAAACATATAACATAATAATTAACCTCAGAGCTGCAACAATTTGTTGCTATTAAAATAACATTAATTGTTTTCATATTAAATAAATATTAGAAAGCTCACTTGTAGCCATCTTCATATTGAATTAAATTTGTGCATTTATTGTTTTAGGTTTGTGACATCATCTTGAGCCATTCACAAAGCATCTGATCATAGCTGCAGTGCTGCAGGCTGACAGGTTCCTGCAGGATCACAGACAATTTTCTGAAGCAGCTCTGAAGACTATGGAGGCTCACCCAGTGCTGAACAGGACCAAGAAGTCTGATCTAGTTCTGGAGCTGCAGCTCTTCATGGAGAACAATCTGCAGGACACCTTCAGAGACTGTGACTCTGATGAAGGTTCTCATCACATCTCCTCTGACCACAGCTGAATSTGAGAGGAGTTTCTCAACACTGAAGYCAATCCAGACTTTCCTCAGGTACAACATCACATCTCACTGACCATGCTCTATAGAGAAGAATCGTATTAAAACACCCCAGACTTTAACCAGAGTCATGAAGAAATTTGATTCTCAGTAACAGAAGAGCAAAATTTATGTACAGAAAATAAAACACTACATGACATTGTAATGCTGTTTTATTATTTTAATTTGTTTAATAAATACACTGGCGTGATACAACTTAGTACATTTGATTGCTTTTGGAGATGAGCCTATTTTGGATTTGTAGCCCCCCTGGAGAAAATCCACCAGCCGCCATTGCATGTGACATGGTGGTATTTTTAGAGTTAACATAGTAAAACAGTGTTTCCCAAAGTTGGGGTCGGGACCCAAAGTGGGGTCCTGAAACATCAAGGTGGGGTCCTGAAAAGATTTTCTGAATTAATTACATTTTTGCCTTAGTTGTTACCACGGAGTGAGGTTAGTATATTTAAAATGATAAACGTATTATAAAAATAGTGTCACTGTGCCCATGTTTAGTTGACCTGATACAAATGTTTATCATCCAAACATAGTTGGGCTCAGGTCTCTGATACTGTTATTTTGTGGGTCAAAAGCTGAAAACTTTGGGAACCGTTGCTTTTTGGTTCCAAAAGTTGGGCTTGGGACCCAATTATGGGTCATGAACCACCTTGGATAATCTCCAGAAATCAATTTAAAGGGTAATAAAATAATTGCTGATGTAATATTTTCCCTATAATTATTACAAAAACACAAAATAAGTATAAATAAGTATTTATTTGTGTACAAGCTGTTTAGATTGTCAAAAAGCCTGTGTTTTTAGGGCTATTAACGAGGTTTGTGTACTCAGACCAGTAATATTTGGGGTCACAAGTTTTTGCCATGGATATTTTGTGGGTCAGAAGATAAAAAGTTTGGGAACCACTGTAGTAAAACTTACTTGATTAACAACATTAAAATTTAAGAGGTGCTAATGTGAATGAATGGGTAAATTCAAACACAAAAAACCATGTTTTTATTAAAAAAATACATAGAAACTGTTTGCTTTACTACATTTTAGTTCATCTACTACATTAGTTAGTTTACTACATTATTAGTTCACTATATTTCAGTGCTCACACAAAAAGGTTTGTCTGGGAAAATGCAGATTAACAACAAGAAGGCTGACCACCATATCAGCCCTATGACTGTATGAGGATGGTGGGTATCTGAGGGGAAAATAAACTATTTATATCCTCTTAAGGATGGCTTCAAAGCTCTCCTGCAGCTCAGCGGTGCCTCGCCAAAGATAATCACTGTCCGAGTGGCGTCACATACTCACTAAGGCCCTTTTTAAAGCAATTTTTCTGTGCTTGTGTGTGAAGTATGCCCATATTTAAGGTATTGTTAAGACAATCTTCAAGGAAACCAAGGAAGCGTGAAGGTGGCTGCCTGTTTCCTTTCCTCCCGAGGTGCACCGCTGTTTTATTTTTAACCAGCGATGAGAAGTACGAGGAACATTTGGCTGCTGGAAGGAAGGAAACTGGATCTCGAAGGGATTGGCAAACTCTTGAAACAAATGAAATCACTGAGCCAAGTCGTACTCGGAAGATGAAGTGAAATTTTTTTCTCCGTCTCTTTCTAGGAACAGCGCAGCGTTTAATTGTATGTAATTTTCTGAGACGTTATTGCGCGCACATTGTCACTTGATTTCTCTGGAGGACACGCTCATCAATTCATGTTTCATTAACCAAGGTGGGGAATGTTTACGTGAACGCTCGTTTGTAATTTTCCCTACTAGTCGTTCGCTGATTAGCATCCAACGGGATGTCGCAGCTCCCCGGTTGGATCTTACATTCTGATCCAATTGTCTGTCTAATCAGTAATCTAATCACATTTTTTGTCCCCATAATTTTGTTTCAGAGTCAGAAATGAGAGCTCGCAAAGCCGTGGAAAAGATTCCCCACAGACCTTTAGCTGTTTATCAGCTAAATGCTTGCGTAATTACATTATTATTCACAACTTGGCTGCTGCTTGTTGGGTTTGAGCTTCGGTTAATCACAGACACAAAAAGAAAAGTAAAAGTTTCAGAGTAGCCCAATATTCCAAAGTTTCTTTAAAAGTCTCAATGAGATCAAAGGGGAGTGGAGAGGTTTCAGTGTTTACAGTCGGCAATATGAACAAGCCTATTTGTATTCAGACCAGTCGGAGAAGTGAAGTGGTTATAGATGTTCCAAGAAGGGCGCGGTGCAGAGGAGATGGACGGAATGATGAAAGAAGCAGTTCCCACTCCTTGTCGTCTCCTTCCATTACGTTGTCACCCTTTCGCAGCAGCTGCAAGTAATTGCTTTTCTCAGTTGTCTGCAACGAGATAAGGGCTGACGGAGAAACAAGGCCACAGCTCGCAT